CAGCAATATTATATCCGGAAGAGCGTTATATTTAAAATTGAATAAAATCAAATTAAGTAAAGTTTATCTCAACTACCGTGATTATCAATTAAACATAGTTTCATCGTGGAACCTTCCAATATCGATTAATCCGAAACTTGTGGAATATCTTTTATGTACATACGGATTTGTGTATATATGCATATGTGTACTTGTGCGAATTAAATACAATTGAATAACCTCTTTGTATACTAATTCTTTCGAAATAAACGAACAAATTATTTCACATAAAAAGTAAGGTAATACACGATTATTAAATTAAAATTTTTATAAACAATCTACATCATCTAAATTATCTAAAATACTCTAAAAAATACGTAAAATTAAGTTCTTTAATCCAAAACCACTTCTACTCTAATTTGTAAAAAAAAATGTAAGACGTCACACAAGGTTCAAACAAAAAAGACTATTCGCACAAACATATCTAATTCATATACGCTGTATATGCACTCTGTGTCTGTGTGTGTGTGTGTTTTATGTCAGTGGGCACGTATATACGAATTGGCACGAAAACAACTCGTCATAGGAAAGGAATGTTCTGCATAAAAATTGCAATGTAAGCAATTTTTATTCGCGACAAATGTTTCGTTTGAAGAATGATTCTCGCGCTCCGAATATACGTGCACCTGTGCGCGATTTGTGCATGTGTGTGTCCTGTATGTATGTAGATAGAGCATCGTTGTTAGTTTTTTTTTATAAATAAAGATGGTGCAGTTGTGCGTCCTATATAATGGATGAAATTGCGTCTATGATAAGGAATGTCAATTATGTATAAAAAAAATTACTTGTTAGTGAGATAAAATATGTAAAAAGGACGGGAGAGAGATGCCATCTCCGACAGCATTGTCCACACTTTCGCGGTTTACTCTGCTTCCCTTTTCTTTTCAAACTCGGACCGGGTTAATCGCGAAAGGAAATCAATGTGGAAGTCATTTTTTTTAAAGCGATTTAACGCGACAAGGACGAGGCAAAAAGTGAAACAATTTATCGCGGTTTAGGCGACGGGCCGAATCGACGCGCGCGTTGCATAAAACCTTCGCTTCGTACCGCGTTACCATCCCTTTTTCATTCGCGCAACGAAAATATGTATCTCTCGGGAGCAGGCGGTCTATTAATATCGGACAACAGTTTCTGGATTGACGCCCTGTGATGCTCACGCGGGGAAATCTTTTGTGTAACAAAGCGAATATAAATAAAACCTTCGCGTGAGAGGGTTTTCGTGGGGGTTTTTCCGGTATCTCGACGGTTCTGGGAGCTCTTTGCTAATCGCGGCGTGATTGATACCGAGAGAGGATCCTCGCGTCTGCAAGCGGAACGAACATCCGCTCCGCGACCACGCGACGCACCGTCTCGGTTTCGTAACAAATTTATATCGAGAGAAGGACCAATAAAAAACACGAAAATGACAATGATAACAAGAATAATCTTTCGAATCTCCGAACGACCGTAAATTCTCGTAGATCTGTGAACCTCGGGATCCATGCAGCGAGCCGTATTTTACAATTTTCCTCTCGGCCGCGAATCTAATTATAGATTCGGCCTGACGCAAGGTGTTGTTCGTGCGCTCTATTTTCACCCGAGCGAATAATCCTCCGTCGCGGTCAAAGCAACACGTCGGGTAACCGAAGACACGTGTAAAACCCTCGTTGAGGAGGTGCGCACCCATGTTGCGTTCGCGATCCCGACAACCGCGGATATTACTTAATTGAATTAATCGGAGTCTGGTCCAGGAATCAATTATTTTTTCCCACGTTCGAACATTCCGGTTCTTCTTTTACACGCGCGCAAGCTTTACAGATATGTGAAAAAAAAGAAGGAAAATCGTAAACGGTTTTTGCGTCGCTTCCTCAGACGAAACGGCGACGCTTGCAAGCGCGAGTCGGCTCGAAAGACCACGGAACGGAGCTCTCGCGTTCGATTTCGCGCGTTGCACGGTTCGTTTTAGACGCATGAAATACCAGACACACGCTTTCGACATTCCGGACGCCTAGCGCCCGATTCCTGCGCCGGCCCTAAGCCGAGAGAAACGAGTCTTTCTCGCTCTCTTTCCCTCCGCCCCACACGTCAATCCGTGCGTGATCTTTCTCTCTCTCTCTCTCTCTCTTTCTACCTCTCCCTTTCTTTCCCGTTACTTCGACTCGCGTACTATTACGGCTAAATGAAAGTTACGCGGCTCTCCACCGTTGTAAAGATCCGAGAACGGTTCGATCTGTATCCCTCTTTTTCTCTTTTTCGGTAGGCAGGGGGATATATTGTGACATTAATCAATTCTTCCGTCACCGGTCACCGGAGATCTATAACTGCGTAATGTATACGTGTGTAAACGAGAAGTGCTACTTCAACCGATGAGACACAACCGATGTCGATCGGTGCGGCGTCAGGTACACAAGACGAGACGCGCGCGTGCACATACACGCACGCACACGCCACCGTTGCTGGCTGCCCGTTCTCGCGCTGGAGCTGGAGGCTCCAGCCTCCGCCAGCCCGAGTGAAAGCTTCCCGAACAGCAGCACGCTCGTGGCGGAGACACGTGTGAAAGGCTCGTATTTTCGCCGCGGCTTTAGCACGAGCCAAAACACGGGCCATGAGCGCGGGTCTCGTCATACAAATACATAAAAAGCTACGTATATATATCTATAAATATAAATAAAAGTCTGGTCGGAATGATCTGGGCGCTCTGCTCAATAAATTCGCAATTATTTAAATACAGATAGCTCTCGCTAGATTAATATACGCAATAATAAAAGTTATCGGAACGTTTTATCAAGTGTTCGAGACGTTCGCCAAAACGGGTTGATACAAAAGATTTACGTTTGTTAAATCAAGAGACTCCAGCAGATTCAAGGAGACTTGCTACCCACAGGCTCCAATTTGTTCCTTTTCAGTTAAAGCGAAATCGTTCAACTCCTTTTCCAAAGATTCGCGGTTCTCCGATTTTTTTTCTAATACAAAGTTGAGTGGATGAGCCTCTTGCGTCAACCTAGTTTTAGCGACCGCTTCGTCGCGAGACGGAGAAAAGCGCCTCGGCCATTCCGACATCGAGACCGCAAGGAAGATGGTGAAGACGTTGGTGGAAAAAAAAAGATAAAAAAAAAATAAGAGGACAAAAGAGAGAACTTAATTGAGAACTGCCTGTGCAGACACTAACCTTTCCGCGGTGGCGCGGGAACAGTGCTCTGTATCTCTCTTTTTCGCTCTTTCTCTCTCTCTCGCTTTCTTTTTTCTCTCTCTTTCTCTCTCTCGCTCTCTCTGTGTACTCGCATCGTCTCTGTGTGTTCACGAGAGAGCGCCGGCCCTTTGATAAGGGTGCTCGCGGATCTGACCCAGGTGCCTACGCTGCTTGGCGGCGGCCGCCGCTGCGCCTGTCGCCAACATACACACAGCATGAGTATGGTCAGCAGGGACCGTCACTTCCGGCGTACGATCACTTTTCGCCGCACGCGGACCCGCAAGGGATCCGCGCCCGTCCGTCTCGGTCCGCTAAAAAAATCTAGAATCCTGCCGCTATTATCAGTGCAAAAGAAAAGACACACATCGGGGGGGAGGAGGAACCCGTGCCACAAAGAAAATCTGTATTGCACCCTATTGATACAGACACAGTAAATTGTAAATTTGGATTTCACTTATTTACGCTACTAATTTTACTAATTTATGATACACTTGCAATCCCTTCTTTCTTTTTCTCTGTGCAACGGGTTCTAGCGACGACGCCGCCACGACGCCAACAGGACGAGGGCGAGTTGCCACGACTTTGTAAGAGCCACCCTTTACCCCGTCAATTGGCTCTCGTGGTGGCGTCGCCGGATTAATGCTGATCGTTACCTCCAGCTTACGACCAGCGTGAGCTCATGATCGTTGAACAATTGTCTTTCAGGGGCTTTAAACGCGGAAGCCACTAAATGCCTGAAACATGCGCGGAAAATACTGCGAATACGGTAGAAATACTGCGGAAATATGGTAACGCGCGACACCCGTTTCGCGTACCGTAAGGATGCCCTTTGTTTCCTTACTTGAGCATCGCGAGCGTGGAATATACGGAGACACGTTGCTGCTCTCTAAATTCAATACCGAGATGATTGCTCCTCGGTATTAAACAACGCCGAAATGTCTTTGAGTAACGAGGACTTTAAAGGCATCGCGCTAATTCTTTATTTTCCCCTTGAAGACACGACTTCAAGAACGCGTGATCAAATTACCGATTTCGCGTCGTTTATATTAATGTCATCGCTATACAGAATGCCTCGGGATCACTTTATTCAAAGACATCTCGATGGAGCGGCGACTCGCGTGACGCTTTTTGACACGCGACCATGTCTCGCGTGCTCGTCCCGAATCTCTCGTGAGCTCACGCTCGGCTCGTATTCTTTAGGCCTGTAGCGGGGCAAGCTCGCCTACCAGAACACTCTGTAAGAATACTGTAAATCGTCAGTGAAGTCGTGCGTCCCTGAAACTCCATATTAAAATAAAAACAACATAATCCCGGCTTTCCCGCAGGGAAGCGAAACGCGGCTTCGACGGAGAGACACGTACTTACTTACTTACTTATTAACTATTGAAACGAGTCTACCATATAGATATGACCTCCCGTATCGGCGCTTGTTTCTAGGTACATCGGACAGATTTTTGCGCGTGCGTGTATACATATAAAATATAAAACTCGTTAAATATATAGAAGCTATTGCTGATAACCGGGCAACCTCTCGCTCTTTCGCGCGCGTCTCAACATCACACTTTTGATTTTCGTCAGTGAAATCAGGTAAGTCTTTGTCATGTAAGCTAGAAATGTATCCAACCATTCTACTCGTTCCTAACAACAATGAGTATTGGGATTAACATCTACCCGTTGCTTCGGCCCTCAACCTCGTATAAATATATCTATATAAACGGCTAAATCTTTATAAAAATAAAATTAAATAAACGTATAAAATAATATATAATATATAGCTCGTACGATAATGATATATGTGTGTACATATATATATACACACGTGTATATATATACACGATTTGCATATTTAAATATTTAAATATTACTTAAAGACTATGCCATCAAAAAGAGTATTACGTGTCTATAACATAATCTGTATAAATACGTGCGCTAAAGTCACCATTCGATTCTCCTTTATTTGCTCTTTTGCGAAGGGAGGGGGGCGGCGTGGACGCGCGATAAGAAAACAAAAAAAAAAAGAGAGGAAGTACTTTTTCAACGCATAGTCTTATCCGTATCGTCTGGATTCACTACAAGTAAACGCTAGAACCATCAGTCCTCAAAATATTGTTTGGTCCCTGGGTAATATTCTCCCTCCACCTATATATTGCCTGTCTAAAGAAAAAAAAAGAGAAGAATCCTACGTATATTATAGGCTACCTATCACCAGCCATCGTATGGCGTGTCGCGCGATAGATCCAATTTGTATTTATTACCGATGAGTCCTCGCTAAATTGCTCGCTAATCCGATTGCTATCGTGCGATCGACCGCGATCACCTCGACCGATTCGTTTCAAGCTGTGAAAACTCAGCGATTACGTCTCTCTCTCTTTCTCGCGTAGAGGAGAGAAGGAAAAAAAAGGTAAAGCTACTCTGTCTCGGAAGTCTCACAATCGAGTACTCTTCTTCTTTCCCGTTTCTTTTTTCTTCTTTTTTTTAGATGACTATCGCTGCGCTAGACGATTCGCGTAATTACTGCGCTAGGGTCGTCAAAGAGTTACGTAATTAGAGGTACGGTTTTCATCCGGATAGAGGCGGGAGCGAGAGAGAAGACAAAAGGGAAAATGAGTAGACGCAACGTAGAGTGAGTTTCGTAGGAGAGGTGGACGGATCGAGTTATTAGTTGTTTTAGTCGCGTGTTAGGTCAAACCCGAGGGATTCGATTGGGATTCTAGTGGTAGTACTTCCTGTAGTTGCAATCGTCGTTAAAAGTGTAATTTAAATCAAGCGTAAACGGAGAACGTGTGCGATGAAAAAAATGAAAGAAAAGAAAAAAAACGCGGACACTAAGGTTCGATTAATGTACCCATCACCACCCTGTCGACAGACTACTGATTAAAACGGTTGATTATTCTCTTTAGCAAGGAAAAGAAACGTCCCGGGACGACGATACACGTCCCTTCCCGTCATCGAAGCTACCAAATCGAACTCTAAGACAAGCTTTAAGAAAAAAAGAACCTATATTATGCAACGTTTAATACCGTCTACTTCAATAAATATATAATATATCCTCTGTGAAATCTATATATCTACGCACGTACGTGCAATGCGTACACACGCACGTGTATCTGTAAAAATAGCTACAACAAGAATGGCCTTTGATTACTGCATTGAGTAATGCGCGACAGCGCGTTACGGATCTCTCATCAACCGTAAGAAAAAAATTCAACGCAAGACAATACGCACGAGGGCATTCCCTTACGGTCTATATTATACGTTAAAAGACGCGCGAATGCGCGAGCATTCACCGGGTAACTGGATGCCTTTCAATCATGGGGAAGACAGACGCGATCTTCCGTATGCCGCGACGAAGAACGCGCGTCCAGGGGTATAATTCCCGGACAGTATATATCGCTCGGCTTTTAAACAGGCCCGGGCATCGAACGTCGCGTGCGTCAGGGAGTCAAGTAACTCGTACCACTCGACGGGAAGTACTTTGGATACTGGTGGAAGAGGACTGGACGGGAGATTTCTCGCGTACCCGAAATATCTCGACGTGTTTTTTTTCTTCTTTCTTTTCTCGAAGACGAGACTCCGCGGGATTGTCCTGACTAACGGTTCGCCGTAACTTTCGACGCGATCGAGTTCAACGTGATTCATCTCCTCGCTGGATTCCCGCGATCTCCTTGGACTACACGTACGCGGTGTGAGACTTGTCCGATCTGTAAGAGGAGGATATCATGTCCGGCTGATGAGATGTAAATATAAGCACGATACTACGAAAGATGGAAGTATAGGTCTCAAAATCAATATTCCAATTTTAAGCAATATTTCTCGTTAAAAAGTCAATGTAAGTCAAATAAAATTATAAATCCAATAAAAACAACTTTGATTGCCGCTAAATTTCACGTTATCAGTTTCGAACGGCGAAAGTATATTTCTCGTATAGCAAGAGATAATCTATTCTCGTTTTCACCAGGTACTTTCTACATCGAGATATATAGATATACAAACATCTCTTTAAAAAAATCTTTCACAAGACTGAATTTCAGATTAATTTTTGAATTGCAGATTAATCTTCCAGATTAATACGTAGTCTTCTCAAGAGAGAAGAAAAAAAATGAAATCTCTATTTAATCAGGCAGAATATCCTCCTCTATCGTACAAAAATTGCACCGTGCGGTTACCCTAAAGGCGACTCGAGGAGAAAAGAAGTATTCCGGCGGCGAAACACGTGGCTGCTGGTGAACGGCACGAAAATCGGTGTAAAAAGAAAGAAAGAAAGAAAAGCTTTCAGACTAGTATAGCTACATCTGCACGCGATACAGCACGCACGACGAGTACGTACGTACGTCTGTCCCGTCTTCTCCTATACCTAATACCTATACCGTTCCTGATAGAATCCTACCGAAACACGGCCTAGCCGTTCTGTTCGCGTTCCTACCAGTTCTCTACCTGCTATTGATAACCCTGAATCTTCGTGACACAATTATTTCGATAAGGCGGTGCATATAACATTACACGCTAAGGCTTTCACGTAATTATAATATCTGAACTGACGCGACTAGTAAATGACTGATTTCGGTTGTGTCCTATAATCCTAAGCTATCCTCGCAAAAAGTACTCGCTACGATGATGGCGATGATGATGATGATGATAAAAATGATAATGATGATGATCGGGACGACGACCGATTCACCGATGATGATAACGGAGATAATGACGCGACATGGATAATAATAATTAACGGCTACAAGAGCGATCGGTTCGTAATTAACAATTATAGTCTTACAAATTTACGTGATTGTGTACGTGCTACGTGTCGATTGGTGACGCCCCCGTCGAAGCGATGTGCATGTCCGTCGCGTTTCACGAAGCCCAACGCTATCGGTGATAACATTGCATTCAATTTCGTTTCATTCTCCCGTGACAATTTCCTAATTCGTGTGATGTATAAAAATTGGCACCGGTACCAGGATTAGATGGGCAACTTTTTACAACGGTCATTATCTCAGCAGAATATTTATACGTACTATAATACGTACAGATAAAAAAAAAATGTACGACAATAAGCTTATCGAAAAGATTTCTTCCGTTAATCGTTGCTCGTCTAATCTCTTGAGATTCACAGCACGGGAAAAGAATGACTAAATGCTGTTGAAGCCGTTAAAGAGAGTCACCAATCGTCAGTGACGTGCCGCATGCGGTATAATAACAATATTAATAAAAATAATAAAAGAGCACGCGGCTTCGTTCCCTCCGTTACGCGCGCATCTCTCTTAAAAAATTAGAAAGAAAAAAAGAAAACATTTCCGCGTATAAAAAGCTCCGTTTCTCGTATTACGTAGAGGGGAGAGGCGTTCGTTTCGACCATCTCCGTTTCTCTCTCCGTGCCGCGCGGGGGGACACGGCAACGGGAGTGATCAACGAGCAAACAACCCACCAGAATGATCAGCAGTGGCGTACTCGGTGAGCAACGGCGAGGCAGCCAGGGCGGCGTAGTTGGCGTAGTCCGCGTACGGCGTGTAGATGAGCCCGTGAGGATCGCCGGCCGACAGGAGCGATCCGGGCGGCCCGGAGCCGTTCAGCAGGGACGCGGCGGTCGTCGGCACCGATATCCGCGGCGACAGGATCAGCGGCGCGCCCAGGGGCGCGCTCGGAGTCCGCATCGGCGTCGCCAGGCCCGGCAGCAGGCGCTGCGTCTCTGCCGCGGCGGCGGCTACCCGCCGCCACTCCTCGTCACAGGCTGCAAAAGCGAGTGGTGCTGAATGACACGCTTCCCTGCCTCGCCTCCGACCGAAACGGTCGGTTCCACGAGCGCTATGATCCGCGACACCCGCGTTATGACAATGACTGGACACCGCTGCGTGCACAACCGGAAAAATTTGGGAGCGAGGAAGGCAGCGAGTTTCAAGGAGAAATTTGAAATTTGTTTCTGAACGATGATTATGATAGTATCACATATTAAATTATATGAAATGGGGTCAGGCAAGTTGACAGAAAAATACAGAGTCTGTGGCGGGAAGACTCGTCGTCTTCGTTCACCAGTCGACCTTGATTTCGATAACCGCTGCGCTTAATCCAGACACGTATATCTCGAGTCAAGTTTCTCCGAAATCTCTCTTAAGCCTTTCATCTATCTAACGTGACTCGAAGCGCGACTAAACTAGTTTTCCGAAAGAATAAAATAAATACGTCGCAAAAAAAAACCAATTACTAATCAAAGAAGAGTAAGTTGAAGATGAATCGGTCGGGTACTCTGCGACCGTTATTTCTTGTTCTCCACCACGCTAAAGTCACGAGCATTAATATCTACAACTGTTTGTTTAAGCGCGAATTTCTCCGACAACTGATGTACCGGGAATCTCAGATTTGGCTGAAGATGTGCACGCAGCCGCGTTATTTCGCGAGAATTATTTCAATAGATTAGTCACGAACGTGCGGAACGACGATCAACGTTAGTCCATTACGTTGCAATGTTGTCGTTATCTTTAAATGCGTCATGCGTCGATTATTGCACGTTTTTACAACACAACGAGGTAAATTACAATTGCGATAAAGTAATACTCTAAATGGACATCTCATTAGAAAGTCTATCTCGCGTGCTATCTTCGGATCCTGCAATCTCCCGATTCTCGCGGATCCCGCCTGGCTCTTAAGCGCGCATAATGAGACAAGTTCTGCGAACGGTACCTGCCGCGGCGGCAACCTTTGTGTTCGAATCCCGGTAAGTCCCATTGATAATGGCGAGTTCCATTAGCTGCCTCTTCTTTAGCTCATCCTCGCCGTCAGCCTGCTAACAATCGACATTAACGTCAGAACCCACCACCGGAGGTGCAACGATAATTATCCTACGAATGTGGATGGGGGAGCTCGACATTGTACAGATCTTTTCCATTTACATATGAAAGCGCCGATTGTACAGTTAACGCGCGCGTTGTACACGAGGCCACTCACTTCGGAAGTGGCATGCGTTTCGAGCTTCGACAGCTTGATTATAACGCGCCACGTCTCGAACTCGCAGGGAAAAATTGTCGCAACAATTTTTTTTCCCTTTTATACAACTTTACTAAAAATTTTTGATATCTTTTTCTCTCGCGCGCAACCACGCTTCCTTCAAGTTTTCGGATTTGATTCGAAACTAGAGAAGGAGAGAGAAGGAAGAAAAAGACGTGTTTGTGGGAAAGTCTCCCGGCGAGATCTCTCTTCTTAGCGCGCGGGGGGCTATTATCGTCTATAAGCGGGAAAGGAAGGGTATACAATTGGAACTTTCTCACCACGGGCACAAGTAGCTTCTTGACTTCCTCGACTGCTCGGGCGAGCTTCAACGTGGCACGATTCTCGGTGTCCTCGACAGTGAGCAGCACGTGCAACTCGTCCGTCAGGTGCTCCCAATTCGGCTTGCCCCGATTCTGTTCCTCCTGGTTAATCAACACGTCACGCAATATTGTTATACGCACGCAAACATTAGTCGCATACACATACACATACACGTACATACACCCGCGACGCGAACTTAAAGTCATATAGTTTACATAAAATTGTCGTTCATATTATTTAAAAAATATATATTTGAATAATACATTAAATAATATATAAATTATAATATAAAGGCTCGATTTCCTGAGAATAGAAAGAAATAAAGAGCAGGATTGCGTGATTAATATAAATTTCGTTCCCTCTATACCCGCGCCTTTATTTCGGACGAATTCTTTGAACAATGAAGCACCGGCGTAGATTTTTATCGCGGACTTTTGTTAACCAAATAAACGGCAATAATAATTAACGAATAAATTTGCGTTGATCAGGGAGGAAATAATAGATACACATCAAATTCACATCGAATTGTACACTGGGGTTCGTTTCTACGTGTATATACTTACGAGAAAGCATTTCGCTCGCGTACCACGTGCAGCTTGAAAAAAATACGACGCTTGGTTTAATTCTCTATATAAATCACTCATAGTTAATTCCAAACCCATTTGTGTCACGGTCTCTAATCCCCCGATACGTAGCAAGCATTCTTTACTTGGAGAGCTCGTATTAACTCTCTGATATTGATTAAAAAACGTATTATTTATATATACTTCACTAAAAAATGCATTATTTACGTATAATTCATGTTACAACTCCAATTATATCTGTAGTCACAACATTCCTCTTAAACAAGAAGTATAATGAAGCGCGATTAAGGAGAGCAGGCCTATGATTAGCGGAATCGACCATTACAACAGCTGTCATCGTCTGCAACCGTTATTAATTTCAGACGCTCGTTGCCGTTAACGGGCAAGTTAAGTTACGTATTTCTTCGCGATACTTAACGTCGTGCATCGATAGAATTTTCAAAATTAGCTTGCTGAAGAGAACTTTCCTCAAAGAGTCTTCATGTAGCAATTAGGCGAGTGGAAGTTTTAGTTAAATCAATTTTTACCTTTAAATAATTCTCACCTTTTTCTTATCCCTCATCGATCCTTTCCCGCGCACCATGATTTTGCATCCTGTCTCCTGCTCCAGTTGCTTCGCGGTCATACCCCGCGGTCCCAGAATCCTTCCGACAAAGTTGAACTGTAATCATACGGGAAAGCCGATTGAATTTTTTTCCATGCATCTTTGTGCGATTAATATGTTCAATTCTAAAAACTATTCAACGAGAACGTGTAAACGCAAAAAATCAATAAATTTTTTCCCAAATTTATCTAATCGTCCCATTTTTAAGAACTTCCTCAACAATTTGTATACAAATATTATACATTTTTACAATATTTGTATTAAATAGCGGCTCATAATATACTCATAAATTATAGAATATATCTTTTACGTGCGAAACGCTACGCGCTAAATTTGGTTTGTACGATCGTGTGAAAAAAAGACCTGTTCTACGAGATATCCAGTTTCATTGTTGGATCCCGGTAAATAAAGGCGGATAAGTTTAGACGGTGAATCATCCGTGGCTCTTTAGCCCGCTGCTGGTCCATTTCTTTATTTTTTTCAAAAACATCGTTCCCAAGATAAAAGTTTTAATATATGCGATTGAGGCGTGTCTAAACGCCGAAATGCAGTGGGAGGAAAGACTACGACTGTAATATCTTAGAGAGACCTCCTTTCTTTTATCTCAGAAAAACGTAATCCAGTAAAATCTTAAATAAACACATAACGCATAATAATAGCAATCTTGACGATTCACGCAATCGCATCGAAAGATAAGACGAGCTACCGTGCCAGGAGACGCATCACGACAGCGTCCTTCTTGATGACGATAAGAACTAATGCCCTGATAACGTGGGACATTATCGAAAACTACCAATCAGCGTGAAATCGGCGCATGATAATTGGACAATTGTCGAGTAGATGGGCGGACAAAGCGAAACCGCGCATCGTCAACGTTACGCGGTAATTGAAGAATCGATCGATCATTCGCAAGAGGCTATAATGAGCTAATAATCGCCGACGTCTGTGATTGCCGATCACTCTCGCGCGCGTAAGCCGACGTAATTTTTTCCCGACAATTCTCAAGCGATACCTCATTCATCTCTAAATAAATTAAATATTTCAACGCGATTTAAACAAAAAAAAGAAGTATCGAGATACCCGCTCCAAGGGTTAATAAGCTTACGACCCGGCTATTACGTCTCAATGAGAGCCAACCGCGTAGAAACACGCGCGCGCGCGAGCGAGACGAGGAAACGGAGCGTGGAGAAGGAAAGGGAGTCCGTCTCTTCGGCGCGAACCCTATTTCGGGCGTTACAGAAATAACGTTCAGCGTTCGATGTTCGGTGCACGCTGCGCATCGCTCGATCTCGTCTCCCGAGATCGGCGAACGATACTTTTCCTCTCGCGCCACGGATCCGTAACGAAAATCACCCTCCGGCGACACGACGAAGAAAAACGATTCACGACGGATGCGATATATATAAAACAAATATATGTATACACACGTTATATATAAAGTAATAATAAAAAAGTCGCTCAAACTAAATGACTGTAATTTTCTAATGAGCGGACAAAATGAAATGAATTGAGCGCTATACCATAGAAGAACCCCGACATTTTGGTCGGCACGTCAAAGAAATATAAGTACATAATATAAATTTGTGAAAAAATATAAGAAAGAATCTCAATTCAACCGCGGTTGCATCATATTGAGTGATGCCTTTTCATTACCATAATAAAATCAACTCACTTATAATCGAGGCGCTTTTGAAGACTATTATAAATTATTAAATATACTTTCTGACATTAATAATGACCGTAATTGCCTTCGAGGAATTCTAAATAAATTCCTTTCATCCAAATAGCCAAGATGCCGAGATCTTCTAAACGTATAATCACTGAGCTACGCAAAACTTTCGAATTTTTATGTTTATTTAAATCAAGTTCACAAATGGATACTCCTCTTGCACTATGCACCGATAAAAATAACGGGTTTTTCCCCGCAGAGTAGCGTTTAACTCATTTCGTTCCGTCCACTCATCATTACAAAATAACAGATATTTAGTTTCAGCGACGTGTCGATTGTCACCCATTAGTTGACGTATGTACATATTAGCTGAACAATGTAAATTCTCTCATAGAAGCATCTCTCGAAACGCTCGCTCTCTTCGATTTTCCACAGAATCACCTCATCGGTTTTCGTATCTCAAGTGTATTCCTTGAATCGCATCTTGTCACGATAATCCGGGAGATACGTCAATTACATTACACATATGTGCGTCAGTCCCTCGTGCATACTTACATCTGGGTGTTCCTTAACGGGCACATAGACCTTCTCCGTGAGCGTCGTGATGTCGCCCTCGGCTTCCGGCAAGATGAGCGGCTCCTTCTTCACTCCGCTGATTTGAAAAAGACTCGCCCGCACCTTCGCGATCTCTGTAAAGTGAAAACGATCCAACGATAAATACGTGATTAATCGAGAGTTGCGCTCGTCGATCCTCCGATCCTCCGAATTCGGAGAATCAAGGAACTCGGCGAGCGTTCAGGTTCACTTAAGCTGAAAAATTGATACCCCGAATTCTCCGAATTGTGTGATATAATTGATGGAGTCTCGGCTCCTCGTTGAGAGTTCAACGGTGCCAAAAAGAATTCCGATGATTAGACGTAAAAAAGCAGGGATTTGAAAATATCGGAACGCTTCGCGTTTTTCTCGTACGAAAATTGTCCACGACTCCTCTCTCTCTCCTCCTCCCTCTCCTTTTCGTTTCAGACAGAATCGATTTGAATTTCGCCGACGCTTTCGACGGAAGAATTCTCGGCGAGCTCAGACAAAGTCTTGACACGCCGATTACACTGAATGGGCCAATCTACGAGGAATCTAGGGTGACCGTTATATTAACGAGGAAAACGAAACGAAGCGCGAGCGAAATGGAACCGCGTACATCCTTCATTCGATAATACGTCACGCGATTGGTCTTTATATGCGGCGTCTGACCGTATAGCGATAATGCGTAAGCGTGTCCCTGCATACCTATATGCTTGCACGCACTCACGCACGCATTTGCGCGACTTATCCGCAACTTAAACGCAATGCTAATAACGGCGCTGCGGATCTAACGGTTGGGCGTGGCTCTCCCTCTATAAATCGTGAGAAAGGATTAAATTTTCTTATTCAGCTTTTCGTTCGTTCGTTTTCTTGGTATTCTATACAGGATTGACAACAATTGAGTGATTGTCACGTAGAAGGCATTAGAAGAATTGCCTCAATCACTTGAGTAAAAAATTCTTTAATTTTTTTACCTCAAGAAAGAAGTTTGAAGTAGTTTTATTAATATTTAAGGAAGTTAAATTTATATTTTTATTTGAAATAAATATTTTTTCATTTAATAAAATGTGGTTTTATAATCCAATTAAATAAGGACTTGTCAATTTAATTACAATAGCCAGTTGTATATGTACGGAAATACTTACTAAAATTTGTATAAAAAACAATAAAAATCATTTTACATCTGTTATTTCACACCAGGGACTAATTATTTGACATTAAAAAAAACCTTTACGAGCATTCTCACGAAAAAAAATCGCAGACACGTTTCAAATTATTCAAATATATTAAATTGAATTCATATTTTAATTTAACTGAAGTAGAGTTAATGTCAAGTTCGGGATTGGTATAAAAGGGAAACGAGCTTTCCCTTCGGCGCTTTCGATTCGATTCCGATCGGTCAAGGAATAGCGTCTGGCCAGCATCTAAAAAAGGTGACTTTGTTTATCCCGTGTTCGATCGGTAGGTACACCGACCATCGCGGTGTATCTACCGCGGTGTATCGCGACAAAGGATCACGGGGCCCCGTCGTGCAACCCGGTCGTGCTCTTACAACGTATACGTATATCCGCCGTAAACCGTAAAGGTCAACGTTCCGCGTCTGCCCCACTTTCTCGCATGCCTGACCTCTTCGGCTCCTCATCGTCCTCCCGTGCCGATGATTTGCGCTCACGCGACGACACCGGGCCCCGCGGTGACCGCAAATCGTCGCTTTTCGCGTAAACCATTCACAAATCACGCACAATGTAACTGTAAGTCCCAGCCAAACCGCATTCCCAGCGACCGCATAAAATTTGTCCCGATTTAGGAGAAACGAAAATCTCGGTAGGTCGCGGAACAATCCGCGCCTCCGTCACCTGTCTCGAGATCGTTTCGTTAAATGAATCAATCTGAAAATGCAGATCGACTCGACAAGCTACATGTCTATACTTGTTTCTTTCTTAGATAATTTTAACGCGTAATTAAACATTATACGTACTCGTTTTCAGTCGCAGAATAATTTTAGTGAAATAATCTAAAACTGTTTAATGTCAATTTTGTGTAGAAAAATCCATCAAAGCGTATATACGATAACATACATAAAATCATGTGGAATAATTTTATTCTTCTGACTCGAGAAAATTTAATGCAAGCAAATTTGCGAATAAACGACGGACAAATCTAATTACTAATATATTTCCTGTATTAAATGCGTCTTTAAAGTTACAAATGAATCGATCAGTGGCTGCGCAGTAAATCGTTTATAGCAGTTAATGACTACACATCAAGCTCGCTTCCTTTAATGAACCACTCGATTATCTTGAAGAGGAGCCGATTATTAGCCTCTCAATAGACGCGCTGTTTTTGTTCAACGAGGAAAGACAGGTGGAACGCGCGCGACTTGGAGTACGTGCGTCGTAATTGAGAAATCTTTTATACGGATCGCAAAATTCGTCAAGTATCCGCTTGAGGATATCGTCGCTGTGAAAAAATTGTCGCCGGAAAAATCTCGAGTGAATTGATAAATTATTGCGAGCGTGCGGGGCAACGAAAACAGATCGGCGACGCTTTATCGGCGCGGTCATTTGAGATGCCGAAAGGCGATTTCTCGGCTACGGACACGCCGCTGGTTGTCACACTTATTCCGAATGGAAAACGTCAGGATCTTTTAACACGCATACACGCGCGCGTTGCCGAGTCTCTGTGTCTCTTTCTTGGCGCGAGTCATCTCGCAACAACCGCGATTTTCTCGAGAGTCGCGAAGGAGAGGTGGGAGAATGCGTCACGGCGATTCGCGGTATGCCCGCGAGGCCTGCGTTTCTCTCTCCCTCTCTCTCTCTCTCTCTCTCTCTCTCTTTCTTTCGACAAGAGGATCGGAAGCGCGAGCCGCGAAGAATTCACGCGAGAGGGAAACGCAGAGACGTGGATTACAGTCGCGGACAGATAGACGCAGATAGAAAAACAGTTGAGCAGAAAGGCAGAAACGGAGGAGGAGAATGGCCGGGGAAGGAGAGAGGATGAGAGGGGAAATAAAGGAGGGCATCATAGCCGCTTTTAGCACGGCGCAGCTCACCAGCCCATCTGCGTGACATCAGCTGACCGTCGCTCTTGGCTCTCTCGCTCTCTCTCTCTCCCAATCTTTCTTACATTAGTTCCCTACTCCTCAATCCCTCGCACACTATCCGAAATGCGTGTGGCGTGTAGTTGCGCGAGTGTGGGATGCGGAATACGCGAGCGAGCGAGAAAGCGGGAAAGAGACATGGGAGAAAAAGAGAGAGAGCTTCTATGCGTATCTTCGTTCAATGTCAACGTAGCGGCCACATTTACGTCGCAAGAAGCGCGTCGTGAGGAACAATAATAAGAACGTCGGTCACAGAGGCGAAATCTCGATTATTCGGATAATATCTCGGCGTCACGTGATGCGCGCGCGCACGTGGGTGTACGCTGGCACAACGGCAAGAAAATACCAGCGCGCGGCGCGGCGCGGCATCGATGGCATGAGATCACCGATGTTGTAATCGGGTGAGACACCACGATCCGTGACCGCATATCGCTCGAAAGCTGAATCGTTCTCCAAAGATGCGGACGGTGTTGACGAGTCTGTTGCATCTCTCTTTCTCTCTCTCTTCCTCTCTCGCTCTTTCTCGGTCCGCGCGACGTGAATCACGACGCCACTCGTCTCGATTCATCGCTCGCGTTTAACGCGCGATTTAACGCGATCAGAACTATGACAAAGGGAAACCGCTTGGCGTCGAGCGTTGATCGTTAGTCGTTTGAATATTTTCCGCATTAATTTGTGCTTCGAGGAATTGAGAAAAACGGAGCGGCGACAAACTGCGCGCTTCGTCAGAGGCACCACGTGGGGTAACATCGGCGACGACAAAGGCGGCCGATAAAGGCCGTCAGCTGGATCCTAGTTGCTGCACGAACGCAAGAAATGCCGTTACAATGAGAATGCGAGACTGCCGGGTGTATCGCCGATGCGTTACGTGATCTCCATTTTTAGACCGAGTACACCGGCGGACTCGGCTTTAATGCGGCTTCGAGTAACGAATACGCGCGATGCAAATGGAGAAGCCGGACCGCGCGATTAAACTATCGTTACTTGGGATAATTGCACGTCGTTACGCGATTACGCCCGCTAACGTTCCGTGATGAAATAATAAACGAGTACACACGCGCGAGTTTGCAGTACCTTCGACGATAAATTCCACGCGAGAGAGACGGCGGTAAGATATCAACGCGAGCGGACTTCGGGAGATAAGTCCGCTCCGCACCAATATCTCTCAGTCGACGACGTCGCGACGGACGTTACAGATACGGATGGCATAAAATTCATAACTAGCTCATCTATCTTGCGCGCTCCACCCTTAAGCAATTCCCAACTTATTTTCGCGCGATGAGGCAAGCGCGCCTATTTATATGTGCCGTTGCTCCAGAAATTTTGCGACAAATGCGATATCCGCGCGGAGAAACGACTCGCGAAATCCACGAATCGAGGGCGTAAGAAGCGGATCGCGATACGTACCGTCCTATACAATATATGTGTAACAACGTGTCGGATTTCGAAGAGCTTTTACCCACCTAATGTAATGTCTAGCCGTCTAGGAAAATAGCTATCCGTCTAGTCGGCGTACATTATAATATTATCACGCGTGTTTGTAATATTATAGCGTTTTAGTTTCCCAGTTTCCAACACATTTAAAATATGTTATCTCCACACATAACGTCTTTACTATGATATTTAATATTTATCGCATACCTACTCTGTATACCATGCAAAATCCTATCCTCATCCTCACGCAAACGAAATACCGTTAGCGCGCGGCTGTTGCACTCATTGAGATGTTTATCAGTTTAATCCAAGTCCGTAGGTTCATCTTTTTTGTGATTGAACTTTTTCTCGCATAAACATATCGGATTTTAATTATATCTCGTTGATAAGAGTTAGACGTGCGGGCGCAAAAGTAACTTATTGACCCGCGCGATTTCGATGTTCGAGAATAAAAAAATTATTACACGCAATCTTCCTTCTTTTCGACAAAAACTGAAAAAATCACCGGTACGTATCGTTGATGACGGGAAGTTACGATACCGGTTACACGACAATCCGCTTCGCCGCGTTCCGAGT